CCTTGAACGCGGGTCCAGCTTGTCAGTCGGGGTCTTTCCTTCTCTTGTCAAGGGTTTTTGCAAACTTCTCCGACATAGGCCGGGTTAGCACCACACGCTAGGCTAAAGTATGATTATCTCCTATGTTCAGTCAACTATTTATTGCGAGGATACAGCATTAGATAATCAGCTGCTCCAGCTCTTTGCTGATTGAATGTGGCAAGTAAAGGTGAATAGTTTGTAAATCTTCACGTGAGTGTCTGTTTCACACATCTTAAGTGAGCCATTATGGCTTGTTAACTATGATTTATGGCTTACTTATAAGCAATGCCTTTAGTCAATAAATCATGGTTAAATAGGCCTGAAAGCTTGAAGACTCTGCAGGTGGTAATCCCAGTCAGATTTGGTCTGTAAGCAGGGTTGGGCCTGGTTAGTACTTAGATTGGATTTCTCCATATGGGGACTAAGGACTAGTCTGAGATGTTGAACTGAAAAGAAGGCAGTGGCAATTCACTTCCATGTTATTGCCAACAAAACTAAATGGATGTGCCTCTGAGATCATCAGGAGACTTTACCTAAATAAATTAGGTCTTCACCTGATACGTGAAACTGGGTCTTGTTGATATTTAAAATGGGAATTCCTGCCTCAGTCATGCTAATCCTGGCACTGGTTGATTTAGGTGGGTGAACCAGGATTTGATAAACTGCAGAAAACTAAGATGGCCTCATTCTTCTCATGCTGCTTTCTTTTAGTAAGTGAAAGGAGACTGACATCTGCTCTGTATTTGCTCCCTGTATGTTAGAATGGTTCAGATGCTGGAGAGTTAGGAAATCTGGCTTTACATTTCCAGCTGACAATGAACTCAAGATCTTTGGTGCATAGGCATATCTGCATACCTTTGTTCCTGCGTGAAGGGATACAGATAAATTTGAACATTGAAATCCACGCTTCAGTTTCAGATAGACCTACACCTAAGGAGGTGTGAACATGCTTGGGATAAAACTGAGATTTGATTATACTTGTGGCCAGTTATTGTGTCTTTACTGTTAGGAGGGAACACTACGTGTGCTATTGTTACAACTAAGGCTTGTAACACTGTCTATTGGAATTCATAGGTTGGTGATAATTGCATGCCATGCTCTAGCAAATGATGATAATGAAAGAACCACTGATGAGTTTGGGGAAAATTGTGCAGTGTTCTGAATGAACAGGATGAAGAAAAAAGCTATTCTCTTAGTGACATGAATGGGAATGAGATGAGAAAGTACAGAAAAAAATTATTAGTCATTAGATTGAATGAGAATGGTGACTGCTTGATGGGCACCTGCTTAGAAAAAGGCCTGCTTGTTTCAGAAACATGATTGAAATATGTCTATTTACATGGATACATGGCAAGGGATTAATCTAAAATCATGATTGATGTAGATGTTTATGATGAAAGATTAAGATAATTAGCTAAGATCCTTTATTTTTGGAGATGCATTGAAAACCTGTAGTCTACAGCCCTCTCTTGAATTTTTGCTTTGAAATAGGCCAAAATTGGCAGTTTTGATAACAATATGGTGAGAGCGCCTTAAGTTTTTCAGCAGCACTCTTACTTCAGGAACAAGAAACCAGAACTACCTTTCTCCTTCCTAAGATCAAAATATTATCCCTTCCTTTCACATTTAGGGAAGGATGAATGCTTGTCCCCCTCATTGGTCTAATTAACTGGGTGCATTCCTTGTGCGTATTGCAGGCAAGTTATGGTGTTATTACATTTATCAATGGTCCCAAATCTGATGCCTTCCAGAGATGCAGGACTATAATTCCAGAAATTGTAGTCCAGCAAAGCTGAAGAGTACCAGACTGGGCAAAGCAGTTAATTATTTCAGTGATACAACACATGCTTTGTAGACACCCTGGTTTCAAGCTTGCATCCACAACAGGGATCATTTCAACCATTTGCACTTCTGAATAATACCAATTTAGACTGCTAGGTGGCAAGATTTCTAAAGCAGCAACCTATGTTCCCATGATAGCAATCCCTAACGTAATTCCAGCAAAGTCAGTCATGCTTCTTGATAGACTGGATTGCATTTTTTAACAATCTCTTAAAACAGTGTTCAGAAGAAAGGGAGAACAATTGAGACAATTACCCGGGAAGAAGATGATGGCTGTGATGATGTTAAACCCCAAAGCAGACTTCATTATACACCCAAGTTAATACAGAAAAATAATGAACTCTGCAAAAAGGGATCTGGGTCCCACACCATACTCATAGGTTAACAGTTAGGTGTTATCAACCACTAGATATTTCTCCTTTCCCTCTTCTGTAAGAAGGACTTCTTAAAACCAGAGTCAAGACAAGGTCTTGTTTTTTTTGGATTTCCTCAGACCAAAAAAAAAAAAAAAATCTGCAAAGTACACAAAGGTTTGAGTTTTGCTTTTTTTTAAAAAAAATAGCAGCTTACAAGGCACATTTTCCCACAGGATTGCAACACCAACAGCCAGTGGTTTTGTGTATATGTGTTTTTAACAGCTACAATTATTTTTCCTTTTAAACCATAGTAGGTAGGTGTGAGGAATACGTATTTGATGTGATGCTTACACGATTCCCAAATCTCTACTAATCCTGAAGGAATAGCAAAACATGAAACACAACCCCCGAAAAACTCCAACAGCTAGTTCAGAAATCAGTGTAAGAAGTGTAGTTTAACATTATTATTATGACCAAACATTGGTCTCCATGAGGGACCTTTAAGAGCTGCTTTTTCTCCATTAAAAACCTCTTTCCAAAAGCATCTCATTACAACTCAGCATTGTAAGAGATTTTTACAACTTTAAAGTTCTTCAGTTCAAGCATGATCAGTGAAGTATGGGAAGACACCCCATTATTTAAATTATAAGACATGCTAAAACTCAAGGGAGATATACACGTCTCTCCTTCATGCACAGAACTATTTTGTATATTCTTGTAACATAAATATGTTATCATTCTCTAAATTCTTTACAATACTCAGCGCTGGGAGTAGTAGTCAAAAGGGATCCTTTTTAGAACTTTGAACTTTAACTGCACTTTGAGTGGAAGGACTGGGATTCATGAAAAGGCTAAGTCAATCCATCCACTTCAGAGAATTAGGCTTTGTTTTCAATATTCAAGACCACTGAACTAAATGCCTATTAGCTCCCATCTGTATATACTTCAATGGCCATCAGAAGCCAAATAGAAATAAAAGGAAATTTCTCAATACCAGGTAAGCAGAGCATTTAAGAGCACTATTTCCCATCCCTCACTCAAATCTCACAGCAACACCGTTAGCAGTACTGAAAAGTTAATTTCTCTTAGAAATTATTCAAGGTAAATATCTCTTTCGTTAACTTCCTGTCACAATAGAAAAGTACAGAGACGTAAATGAACTTGTACAGAAATAAATGGCTGTAATATTAAAGAAAATCACGTACAGTTCCAAAATTAATACATTTCAGTTTTTAGTCCCTTATGATTTTGCTCAAACCCCACACTGCAATAAGTTGTGTGAACTGGTTTGGATTAATTCCTTATGGGAGGAGGAACGGGTGGCTGAAGGGAGGGGCCAAAAAAGTCAAGTTGGTATCACAACTATGAGATCAAAGCCGTACCCTTTTTTAGTGCACTATGACACATGTAAAAAAAGGGTTGGGGCTTTGATTGCACAGTTGTTGTTGCCATCTTGACTTTTTCAATCCACTCCTGTGGACATCCCTGGCAGGAGACCTTTAAGTTCAATTAAATGTAAAAACAGTTACATTTTCCAATTCTTACATCCAAGTTGCTTCGACTTGCATAATGTAAAGCAGCATTGACTAGCCTCCCTAAAAATGCCATACAACAAGTGTATGATAAAATACTTACAAAGTAATTTTTTTCCCCTTAAAGTCAGAAAAAAATATAATTTCTGGATAAAATACTTTTTCAGCAAGTACACTAGGAACATATACTTAAATAACTTTTTTCTTTTTTATTCAAGATCATGAGATCAAAATCAGAGGGAAAATGCAGAAAAAAAATAGAAATGAAAGTTTAACAATAAAAAAAGATGTGAAGAACAAAGTTGTACTAAAAAGATAATGTAATAATAAACTTTTACTTTATGAAAGTAAGCCAATCATGTTATTAGCTTGGTCTGCAGTGTCATTTAGACTTCACTTTGTAGAAATATTTTAAACAACAGCCACATTCAGATATCATATTAAGCCAGAAATCTGAATTTAATAGAAAACAACAAAAATGAGTATGTAAATATGGTTTGTTTGCTCCACCATTCAAATGGATGAACAAATCAGGAAGAAATAAAATTGAACTGCATCTGCCCAAATACATCAGGATTCATAGACGAAACCTGATCTTTAATTTTGGCTTACAAACCCAAACTTGTTTGGGCATCTCATAAAACCAGTTTGTAAGAACAGGAGAGTAAATCGGAGGCATACTCTTATTAAGCCACAATTAATAATTTGTCCTAATAGCAACTAGGACAAAATGATGAATGCCAATAGTTACACAAAAACAAACTAGCAAGTAACAGAATAATCCCACAAAGTGGCAAGTAGTTGAAGCTAAATTCCTGGAATTTGAGCCTTCAACCTTTTCTTGTTAAAGGGCTGGATTTTATGTTGGTTGACATCCTTTTACATAGATGTATATGAGTGCCTAAAATATATGATTTACAGAACTGAAAGGAAATCTTGCTTATTTAATTCAACTTATTTGGGACACTATTACTGATTGATTGGGTATATAATCCAAACTTTTCACCAAACAGAGTATAATAATGCTTTACTAAAAATCGAAAACAGCCACAATTAAGAAGTCATTCTCAGCCAAGGACTTATCCTGCACAGCCTTACTCCTCAGTCCATCTCTATCGTCATCAACCTCTTGACTCCCCACTTTTCCCATTGTAACAAATTTCAGGAATATGGTTACTGATTGATTGGGTATATAATCCAAACTTTTCACCAAACAGAGTATAATAATGCTTTAAAAAAAAACGAAAACAGCCACAATTAAGAAGTCATTCTCAGCCAAGGACTTATCCTGCACAGCCTTACTCCTCAGTCCATCTCTATCGTCATCAACCTCTTGACTCCCCACTTTTCCCACTGTAACAAATTTCAGGAATATGGCGGGATTTCCAAACTATGAAAATGGCAGAACGTTCCCTATCCACCCCACTTCCAAACCCAGATATATGTACATAACTGGAGAATAATGTCCAGCAAATTCTCTTTTTTTTTTTTGTATTTGCCAACATAAACAAATATAGCTGAAAAGAGTAATTGCTATGAAACTGAAACTAGGAAACCAAATTGATGTCAAAAATGAGGTTATTAAAGCTGAAAAGCTGGAAAGATGCATTTTAATTCTTGGAAGACAGTTGGATCCTCTGTTTTTATAGTCCTGGAGCACATTTCTCTCCCCTCTTGCTGTGTCAGAGTTAGTCTGCAATATTCATGCAGGATACACTAAGCAATTTGCATGTAGTCAGTGATGTGCCTTTGTGTATGTCTGCAATGTATATGCAATAGAAAAAGGGTTTGTTGGTAACCTTAGCCTTTTTAAAAATTCTGCAGAGTCCATCTTCAAAAGAGAAGCTGCACATTTCTCAGGATTGGAAAGATATTACAGAATTGATTTTATATACCAAGTAAGACCTATTCCAGTATACTCGTGTGAAGTAATTCACATATGGAGAATAGTTCATTTTGATCTCCTGACAAAACCGCCCATATTTTGAGTAGCCAGAGCTGTCATTTTCTTCATAATAAACCTAAAAGAAAACAAGAAACAAGAAAAATACCTATTTAACTTCAGGGAGGAAACCAAACACACTGTATTCTGGAATCCTTAATTAAATTCATGTTTAAAATGCCATCGTGAGAGTTGCAGTATTACTATTAGGTTCTGGAGAAAGCACTTTATTCAAAGAGTAGCAGTTTTTAAAAGTAAGAATGTTATACCTATGTAACTGATTAATTAATGGTTACATGTGTATAATGTGTATAATATGGCTTCTACTCAAGGTCTGGAAAAAATTCAGTGTAAGCTACATTAATATTCTGCAAACACTTACCTTCCCTCTGAATGATTTTCAATGCTGAACATTTTTATAATTTGAAATACATTTTCATCACAATTATAATAAGAAACAAATAGTTTAGATGTATTTTATAAACCAGCAAACAAAAACTTAGATCCAACCTAATAAATCCAGCCAGAAGTTTTATTATTCTTATTTTGAAACTGGATTAGATCCTTATACCAAGTCTAAGCCATAAAGCAATGAGGAAAAGAGGAAGGAAGAATTCTATGCAAGAGCAGGAGCTCATAAAATCATGGCGGAGTTGCATAGGGTGTGCATGAACATGGAAAATGGTTTGGCTTTGAACCTGGAACATGAAATGAAACCTGGAACACTTCGGTTGTTCCAAGGAACAAAGTCCAGACAGGGTGAGTAGGGTAAAACTGGTGGATTTCATGGCCTCTTCCCCCACTCCCCTTAGCAGCTGCCAGCATGGCATATCCCACCAGCTCATCACCTCCCCAGTCTTCCCCAGCACCTTCCTCTCCCTCTCCTCTCAGCTGTTGCCCCCAATGTCCCAGCATGACATAAGCCACCAGCCCACCTGCCTCCTCCCTGCATAGGCTCAGGAGACTATTAGCCGCATTCTAGAATCTACTCTCTATTCACTTCAGGCAACCAAAAAACCCAACAGGCTTGCTCAACATCCCACAAAAGCTGAAAATGTATTCTAGAGCAGCCATCCATAACTAGTGCCTACTAGGTGTGTTTAGGGGAATCACTGTTCCCAGGGAGCTTGGCCATCCTGGGAAATGCTGCTGTCAAATAACTCCTTGGAATCTTCTGCTGTGCCCAGTTAGTCAAAGCAATAATGGAAGGCACTGCCTCAAGTTCTGGCAGTCGGTAAATTGTTTCAGTTCTTGCTTCAAAAAAGGGAAAAAAACCCAAAAGCATTTGCAGACTATATGCACAAAGCTCACATGTGAAGGTTCTTCCCTCCCCAACACAAAGAAGCACTCCAAAATCTAACTACTGTATAACGTATAATTGGAAGTACCTTGATTTGTCTGTCCAAAGATTTGCTCTTTCAAGTCAAGAGTGTATATGTAGCATTCACATTGTGGCATTGGGCCAAATCAAAAGACTCAGTTTCAAAGCACTGCTCAGACCTTCTATGACTGCCTTTCAGAATCTTAGGCGGTCGTTCAGATGAATGAGACACAAGATGCATGTGTCCTAAGTAATATTGATC